ACACGCACCCCTCACACACACACATTTTGCACCCATCACACACTACTGCCCCTATCCCCTTCTACAGCCCCTGTCTTGGCAGATGCCAGGTAAGTTGTCAAACTGTTCTTAAACAGTTTTACTACTTACTGTGGGAGGGCACTACAGCACTACTGGAACCATAACCACTACAAAAGTGCTGTAGTGGTTATTGTGCCTGGATTGTTTCTTTAAATAATCTACCAGTGCCCCTCCCAAGATTAGATTCTGGATCTGTGCTTGAACGGCAAGCATTTCTGCCGAACAGGGGCCCAGTATATGCCGCTACGCTGTACATATATACAACCTAAAAAATATTTTTGGGAACCGAAAAAAAGTTTGGGAACCACTGGTATAGGGTGTTTGACTGCATGTAGTGTGGAGGGATTGGCCCTGCTTTGAGACACTGACTAGCATGTGTCAAAATACAACTGGAGTTCCCAAGTAGGCAATTGTTCTTGTGGAAAAGGATGATGCAATTTGACTCAATTCAACATCGGTTTTGCCCTAACATGCATTTCTCATGCTTGCTGAGGGAGTATAGGATGCACAGTGCATCCTATACTCCCTCAGCAAGCATGAGAAATGCATGTTAGGGCAAAACCGATGTTGAATTGAGTCAAACTGCATCATCCTTTTCCACAAGAACAATTGCCTACTTGGGAACTCCAGTTGTATTTTGACACATGCTAGTCAGTGTCTCAAAGCAGGGCCAATCCCTCCACACTACATGCAGTCAAACACCCTATACCAGTGGTTCCCAAACTTTTTTTCGGTTCCCAAAAATATTTTTTAGGTTGTATATATGTACAGCGTAGCGGCATATACTGGGCCCCTGTTCGGCAGAAATGCTTGCCGTTCAAGCACAGATCCAGAATCTAATCTTGGGAGGGGCACTGGTAGATTATTTAAAGAAACAATCCAGGCACAATAACCACTACAGCACTTTTGTAGTGGTTATGGTTCCAGTAGTGCTGTAGTGCCCTCCCACAGTAAGTAGTAAAACTGTTTAAGAACAGTTTGACAACTTACCTGGCATCTGCCAAGACAGGGGCTGTAGAAGGGGATAGGGGCAGTAGTGTGTGATGGGTGCAAAATGTGTGTGTGTGAGGGGTGCGTGTGTGAGGGGTGCAGTGTGTGTGTGGGGTGCAGTGTTTGTGTGTGTGAGGGGTGCAGTGTGCGTGTGTATGAGTGATGCATTGTCTGTGTATGTGGGCCAGCTTGTGCATAAGGGGTACAGTGTGTGTGTGTATGGGGGGGGCAGTGTGTGTATGGGGGCATGTTGTATGAGGGTTAAAGTATGTTTGTGAGGGGTACAGTGTGTTTGTGGGGGGCAGGTTGTGTGAGGGGGTACAATGTGTTTTTTAATAAAAAAAATAATACTTTTCTTATCCCCCTCTCTGCTTACCTTTGCCTGGGAGGGGGGACATTTCTTGCAATCTCTGGTGGTCCGTTGGGGAAGCCCTGTGGTCCCTGTGGTGAAAGTGAACTCTAGCAGCCTCAGGAGCTGCTAGACTTCACTCTCGTGAGATTTGTAGTGTTGCCGTCGAAACTGCAACAATGCTCCGAGCTTGAGAGAGGAGAACCTGGCGGAGCTGCAGGTTAGAGCTCCCCCGGGTACTCCCTCCCCTGCCGGCTGCCGCATTGCACTGCTAGCGGGCGAGAGAGGGAGAGCTCTGATCTCCCCTCCTGTCCTGCAGAGCCGGCAGGGAAGAGGGAGGCACGATTCCTGGTGCTTGAGCATAGCACCTGGAAAATATCTCACGGCTCCCCTATGTGTCTGTCGCGGCCCTATACAATTAAACTTGGTCAATTCCATGCAATGACACACATGCATGCAAATCAAATTCTGCTAACTCCATACATACATACATATCACACTAAGCCAACCAAAACAATCTCACTCAGCCAAGCTCCACACAGATTCCCACTCAGCGATCATGCACATGCTACTCAGCCACCTCAAATATCCCACTCCGTTATATTGCTTAGGGTGGAGCAAGGAGGGGTGAAGATGGGGGGCCCTTTGGGGACCAACTTTTTTAATGCTGTATAAAGTTTTTCCCATATTTGAAAGTATAACTCTTTGTACCAGTCTTCAACAAATTTCAAAAAACTTTATTCAATTAACTTTTCAATTCAACCTTTTTCCTAGACTTTTTACTCCTCATGTGTATTGCTGACTTTCTGTCTGTCTATCTATCTATCTATCTATCTATCTATCTATCTATCTATCTATCTATCTATCTATCTATCTTTTAAAATAATGAAATAAACAGTAACCAATCAATTTTCAGGTTAGGGCAATATATTAACAAACATGTGAAAATCAGAAAATAGCCAAAGTATTTAGTTAGTGGTGTTAGTAACTGTATTTTAACAAACAATAATAAAAACAGCCATACATATCAAAATCCCACACATTTTCATTGTATACACTGTATACACAAAAACTAATTTAGCAGTCATTCTGCTTACTTTTGACCGATTCTTTACAGCCAACGCACAAATACTTTTAAACCCAGCAAGCTAAACACAATATACAGATAGTATCAACAGTACAAAACACAACTCTACAAGTACTGTAAAAAAAAAAAAAAAAAAACAATTAGCATGCAACCCTGAGTGGAAAACCTTTTATTTTTTTTTCTGTCTTTGATATATTATACGTGCCATATTTTATGTGGTTGATAACACAGCAACCACCCTCATACAAACCACTATTGTGGATTTTGTTCCATCTTTTGTGTTGCCCATTTTCTTTAAAAGGTCATGCTATGTATAGAGCAACCCATGTGGTATGCCCTTTACTTACATTTACTTACATTTACACAGAGGTAACACTTTCTACAATCTTCATATGAACACTAAAAATCAGCCTGCATTTTCACTAACTTCTAATTTCTATGATTTATTGAGAAAACGTACAAAATAGAAAATTACAGTGTAAGTACAATGTTGGTTCTCTCTATTGTTTTATGAGAAATCTGTCTACTTTTTTCTCACAGACCCTCGTGTCAACTGAGAATACTTGAGTTACACAATAAGCACACAATACAAAGCCTACCAGAGAGCAAATTTAGGGTCACCAATCCTATCCCCAATGTTTCAGCATTAACTAATGTATTGTATTGCAAGCCATATCACTATTTATAATTTTGGGGATTTTTTTAGTGCTTAGTTTTTGCTAATGGGAGCAGAATAAAAACCCCAAATTATAGACTCTAGATCAGGCGTGCCCATAAGGTAGGTCCCGAGTTGTTTTAAAACTACAACTCTTATGATGCTTTGTCATTCTAAACTTTAGAATGACAAAGAATCTAAAGGAGCGCAAATCATCATGGGAGTTGTAGTTTTACAACATCTGGGGTTCTACCTAGGGCCGGATTAACATAGGGGCTGATGGAGCTGCAGCTCCAGGCCCAGGCCCATGGAATAGGCCCATTGATTTATTAAAAAAAAAAAAAAATATATTTTTTTTTTTTGACATTTTTTTTTTCACACACTATTCTTAGGGATCCCACCTGGCTTTTATTTTATTGGCACAGGCAGTATTTGAGGCTGCCTGGCTGGTGCCAATATTACAGTGATACTGGCAATACAAATGCTGGTATTTTTCTCAGTATAAACAAGAGATTACTATGCAATACCAGCACTGGCCAGTAGGGGTCACTGTGTGTGGAGACAGGCAGGGACAGGAAATTCCAGCATATCCCTCCCTGCCTCTCTCACTGATCTGCAGGGGTGCAGCTACAGAGAGTCCAGACAGCAACTCCGACCCTGCAGAGACAGCCTACAGCTCAGGGAAGTAAGGGATGGGGGAAAGGCTGCAAGGAGACATGGGGACACTGAGACACTAAGGGACATTGTGAGACATTATGACACAGACACATGGGGACACAGTGTTCCCATGTCTCCCAGTGTCCCCATGTCTCCCAGCCAGTGTCCCTGGTGTCTCAGTGCCCCCTAGTCTCCCAGTGCCCCCAGTCTGCCAGTGTCTCACTGTCCCCATGTCTCCTAATGCCTCCATGTCTCCTAATGCGTCCATGTCTCCCAGTGCCTCAAGTGTCTCAATGTCCCCATGTCTCCAAGCTAGTGTCCCTAGTGTCTGTGGCCCTGGTGTCTCCTTGCCCCATGTCTCCCAGTGCCCCCATGTCTCAATGTCCCCATGTCCCCCAGCCAGTGTCTCTAGTGTCTGTGTCCCTGGTGTCTGTGTCCCCATGTCTTCAAGTATCCCCTATTTTCCCAGTGTCCCCATGCATCCCAGCCAGAGTCCCCTAGTCTCCCAGTGTCACTAGTGTCTCCGTGTCCCTAGGTCTCCCCGTGTCCCCAGGTCTTCCCGTCTTCCTAGTGACATGGGGATCCTGTGATACATGGAGACACAGGGAAACATGGGGCATTGAGACACTGTGATACATAGGATCACTGGGAGACCTGGGGACATGACACTAGGGGACACTGGGAGACATGGAGCACTGAGACACTGATACATAGGAACACTGAGACCTGGAGTAATCGACACATGGGGGCACTGGGAGACATGGGGCCACTGGGAGGAATCCATCTATACAGCAGAATCAAACTAAGTAGTTTTTTGGTGATTTTACAGCATTTTCTCTTATGTCACTCCTTGTGATTTACATCATGTGATGTCACCCATACATATTTAATTATGCAAATTAGCAAGGTCGGTATGTTTTTCCAAGAAAGGTGGCAACCCGAACTACTTTTCACATACTCTTACTTAAGTATGGAAACTTAAGAGGGATGTATGGAAACAAAACTTGTGTGGACTGGCTGACAATGAATATAGTTAAAGGGACACTAGAGTCACCAGAACAACTACAGCTTATTGAATTAGTTCTGGTGAGTAGAATCATTACCGTCAGGCTTTTTGCTGTAAACACTGTCTTTTCGGAGAAAATGCAGTCTTTACATTACAGCCTAGTGATAACTTCACTGGCCACTCCTTAGATGGCTGTTAGAGATCCTTCCTGGGTCATGGCTGCCTAAAATGCATCCAAACATTCAGTGTCTCCTCCCTCTGCATGCAGACACTGAACTTTCCTCATAGAGATTCATTGATTCAATTCATCTCTATGAGGAGATGCTGATTGGCCAGGAATGTGTTTGAATTGTGCTGGCTCTGCCCCTGATCTGCCTCTTTGTCAGTCTCAGCCAATCCTATGGGGAAGCATTGTGATTGGATCAGGCTACCACTTCTGATGATGTCAGCAGACGGCTTGTTTTTCTGAGTCTAACAGCATGCAGAGTTACAGCTTCAGGCTTGAATACAGTAAGATTTTGCTATATTTATGGAGGCATGAGGGGCCCAGGGGGGCTAGATGGTGGTGTTAACACTATAGGGTCATGAATTCATGTTTGTGTTCCTGACCCTATAGTGATCTTTTAATGTAATGCTGACTTTGGTCTCTAACACTGTGGCATATTCCCTTTCTTCTACACTCACTACATACAGCTTTTCTCTGTCCCAGACTATATACCAGGAGCTTCTGCCTGCTAGTAAGAAGGTAAGGAGACAAGTGGACCAGCGAGTGCTATGGGACAGTCCTTAGAAAGTGTTGAGAGAGCGCATCATTAGATGCATTTATGCCAAGCTCAGGGTGCTGTCTGCATAGTATGCCCTTAGTTTGCCAGCTGCATGATTGGCAGGCAGCCTGACATGCATTCATACCAGGCTGGCCTTCTAATTCTTTGGGCAGACATATCCTCTTTTTGGGCATGTTCGCCCCTTTTGGCAGGTTACGTGATTTGTGTCAGTGGCACACCCTTTTACCTTCCTGCTTGACTGGACACTGCTGTTAGGGGTTATGGATTTACTTGAAAGATGAAAACATAAATTAGAGAGATTAGCCTAGGGTATGTGTTTTCCTATAGCTGCTGTTTTCTTTCTCTCCAGCACCATCTCCATCAGATACATGATGCTTGGGAGTGTTTTAGTGTTTTTGGTCGATATGATTCTGTAATTAGGCCCGTCATGATTGTCAGCACCAGGCCCACTGGGCTCTTAATCTGGTCCTGGTTCTACCTTTTTGGGCATCCTTGCTCTAGACTAGACCAGGGTTAGGCAACCTTTGGCATTCCAGATGTTATAAATTACATCTCCACTTGTGCTTTGTCAGCATTAAGGCTCTAAGAGCATTCTGGAAGATGTAGTCCACAACATCTGGAGTGCCGAAGGTTGCCTACCCCTGCTCTAGACTCTAGAAAAGTATGTGTCTGGAGTGTTCCATTCATGTAATTTTTAGAAGCTGAGGGGGGACTGCACAGAGAGAGAGCTGGTACACACAGAGACAAGGCTGTCTGCTGTTGCTTTGAACACAGGTTAATGATGTTAGAATGAGCAGCAGTTGGTCAGATAACAGTAGAATCTGACATTACATGAACAGCAAATGAAAACATCTAAAACTAAATAATATAAAGCAATATACATCATAAAATAAAATAATTCATTTTTATTTGCTATACATTTTAAAAAAATGTGATGTGAAATTGTTATGCCAGTTATCCTATAATTTCTGTGGCATGAACATCATGAGCGGATTTCTCGTAATTTACATATTGACAGCCAACTGTGGCAAGTTTCAGAATGGATGATTTCTCAGACTGCATTAGAAACACTGTATACTTTTTGTTGCGGATAGAGTGGTTTGTGTGGAGTTTTTGGTTGGTAACTGGCAAACTGCTTTCTAAGCGCAGCCATCTATATTTCATACCTCCCAGCAAACTGCAGGGTAAAATCGGGAAGGGGTTGGTGGTGCTCTGAGGGCGTCTCATCAGTGACACTGAAATTATCCCACGTTCTGCAATATGACAATATAAGAGTTCAGTGATTGGTTGGCTTGTAGGACAACTAATCAGAGCGCTCTAACAGCCAAGTCACAAGGGAAATCTCTCTTCTTATATGGCTGCCCTGCTGCAAGTTTTAAATATTTAGTAGACAGGCTCTCACCGGCCACATGCTAGGTGGAGGCATTTGGAGATTTAAAACTTCCCTTGCAGTCTTATTGACCCCTATAGGCTTTTTATTTATTTATTTTACTTTTTTTAATCTGGCAACTAGCTAGTAAGCACTGGCCAACCGCCACATAAGAAGCCCTAGTGGTGCCAAATATTTAACTATTTTAAGTGTATACATTAATTTCCTGTTCGGTTGGTGCATCTGAATGATTGCTGCAAATTCTCTGGTCAAATGAATTCCGACTACACTTGGCTTTAGTAAATATGAGTATATATGTATAGTTCTCAATGCATATATTTCACAGGAAATTTCCCAGGGTGGCTGTAATGGTTTGGGGTGAATGGACTCAGTATGCAGAGAAATAACAAAGCAATGTCACCGTGGCTCTTTCTGAGTGCAAGATTTCCACTTTATCCTGCTGTTCCACACGCTGCTCCCTTATGGACTGATTTGGGTCAGCCAGGGTTCTGACAACTTGTGGGAATCCTAAAGCAGCATGGGGAACAGCAGACAGGGACCCACACTGAGTGCTCACCGGAGGGGAGGCTGGCTGGGCACAAACATGGTGTGCCTTCCATTCCCTACACACCGCAACCGACATGTATCTAAAACTCCCAAAATAAGCCAATATGTGTTTCACTCCTTCACTGAAGAAGCTCTATAGGAGCGAAGTGCATATTGGCTTATTTTAGGACAAATGTGTACTTTAAATTGTCTATTTATGTTTGTTTATACCTGTTAGCTTCAGAGCCAGGCTTTAAGGCTATGGAAAAGGTGAGCTTAATACCTATTTTACAATTTATGGTGTTTTATTTGATATACTAAACATTGGATGCCTCTCTCTCGCTTATCTTTCTCAGGGTGAATATTAGAGTGGTGTGATGCTACCCTAAGAGCATACAAACCAGTTTTATGAATTCAATGCATATAAGCTCTTTTTTTTTTCCAGGACATACTTGAAAACGAGAGAAATCTCAACGTATCTTTCCTGGTATATATATTATAAAAAAATAAATGTGAGTGATCCAATTATCAAGCCCTAATATTCTAATTTTATTACCTTTTGCACTATACTGTATTTTTGTTTATTTTTCCTTTTACGTATGGATGTACATGATTTTCTCAAGATAATTTGGGGTAAGCTATTCCATATATATTTACCACAGCACTCCGCTTAGGGTGTAGGTATATATTTATACCACGTGAAATTTGTTGTGTTTACTGAGGAGTGTTGACAAGAGGGTATTCCACACAAATGTATAGAGCTGCTGTTTTTTTTTATATTTTCACTAAAGCACTTTTGTATTAACACACTCCTTCCTAAAAGGAGGTTTTGTTAATTTCTGTCCAGTCTATTCTAAACACATGGGACAGGCTCTGGGGAGATAGCGCAGCTAAGCGGACAAGGGCACATGTAGGAGTGTGGGGATAGATGCATGGGATTGGTTTGAAAGAGTGTGTGGGTGGAATTATGTTCTGTGTAAGTTAGTGTGGGGGAGGTCTTACCTCAGCGCCACTTGGGATTCGGGCCAGCAAACAGCTTCCTGTCCTCCTGCTCCTGTTTGCCTGGGCCTGCAGATTTACACAGCTTGAGGTGGTGGATATTGAGGCGATCCTGGCGTCTCTCAGGGCTGCTGCTGCGCTGGATGGTGGCCGGCACCTAAGGGAGCAATTCACAAACATTAGTGGAGGTATGGCTGCCGGTGTGGGCCCCCCCCTGCGGTCTACCTCCCCCTGGAGCACCCCCTGCGGTGTCCCATGCTGCCTCCCATGCGGTCCCTGCCCCCTGGGGGCCGCTCCAGCACTGGCAGACGTTCCCGCCCGCCTGCCAGGCTGTCCCTGGATCCTACTCCTCGGGCCTGGTTGAGGAGCAGGAGCCCGGGCCCAAGGCACCGCCGGGGCCGCGTGTCAGAGGCTCCAGGCACGCGGCCTACTACTGGGGGCCGGGATTTGAGGCCTACTGCGGCTGTGCGCGTGGCACGGCCTTCTGCCACGAGGCCTGCCACTGCCGCGTGGCCCGCTGCCTCCATTGCCGCCCGGCCTGGTACCGCCGTGCGGCCTCATACTGCGGCTGCCGCGCGGCCTATACTTTATCTCCATCCACACCATCCGCCCCGCCCTCCAGTGCTGGATTGCGGGGCGGGGGCGGTGGGCGGCGTACACAGCTATCCGGACGACGGGTGGCCGCCCGGCAACGGTCCAGGTCCCACGCGGCCTGCGGGGAAGTGAGTGGGCCCTCGTGGGCCGCCCGGGGTACCTTGTACCGCCGTGGGGCTGTAGGGGGGTCCCCTTGCCTGTTGGGCGCCTCCTCTGCTGGTGAGGAAGGCTCCCAGGGCTCTGTCTCCCCTTCCCTCTATCTTTTCCCCCATTAGTCATGTTTCTTTTTCTTCCTTTCTATTCCAGGGGGCCCAGCTTACCCTTGCCTGGGCCCCCTGGTCCCCCTTCCTCTTGCCCGGTTTTCTTTTCCCCCTCTCCCCCCTCTGGTGGTCCTACACCCCCCTTCTCCTGCTCTATTCCCCCCTCTCTATCCCTCCCTATCTGCATCCCCTCTGTTCTCCCCACCCTTAACCTTGCCCCTCTACCTTGCCTGAACCCCCCCGCCCCCCTGCAGGTCACTTACCTCAGTCATCTCCTCTGGGGCGTGGGCTCTCAGCTTCTCTGCTGCTTCCTTCTCAGGATACTGCCGCAGTTCATGGATCATGATGTCTTCTGTGGATGCTGGAACTGCTGTTTCTTTGCCTCAGCCTTATGTGAGCGCAGTGCCGGGCTTGGATCGCCAGGCTGCGACCGGTGAATACATTTCCCCCCTCTTCTTTTTTAGCGCTTCGCGTGCGTACGTTCTTCCTTCCTTTATTTAGTCTAGTCCTCTTAGCACACACACACAAAAAAAGAAAGAATTAATAAAAAATAAAAAAATACAAACGGAGAAAAAATTACAGGACAGAAATAAAATGTAAATTACCTAATGGACTAAAAAAGGAATCCAATGTCAAGTACAAGGGGAAGAATAAAAAAATAAAAAATAAAAATGGAATCCAAAATAAAAACAAAATTTGGGTACCCCCCTTCGTTTTCAGTATGTATCATATGTTTAAGTACGCTTTCCCGCAGCGTCCGGTGCAGCTGATAGCGCCGGCGATGCCTCCCAGGTTCACGTGACTCTGGGTGCTGCTGAGCTCATGTGGCCCGCTTGGCTTGCGCGTAATACTAGGGTGCAGATGGGGAAGGGGCTTTTATTGCAGGTATGTTCTCTCCTGCCACGGGGGTCCCTTGACTAAGGGGGACATTAGGGGCTCTGGGAGGTATGTGGGGAGCATGCTACACCCCAGGGCGCGTATTCGGATGCACCCCGGTTTCTGGTTAGCATTGT